GTTATGTGTTCAGTTTTTCTGTAGGCACATTTGTAAATGGAGAATTCTTTTGAGATCCATCTTGTTCAGTCTCAGTGGTTTTGTTCTTTCTTTCACGATGAATTGCAAAATGCCATTTAACTTCAAGGTCTCTCATCCTGCAACTGCAATGCTACACACCTTTTTATTGACTCTTTCCTTGCTTTTTTTGTTTTTTTTTGTTTTTTGTTTCACCAGCAAGATTCTCACTTTGCTGCTTTGCTGCACATTCTTTCAAGTTGGCCATCAGTATATAAAGTAGAGAAATCTTTCTAAGTCCTGGTACTTAAAGCAGTATTCCACTTATCACTTCTCATCATCCTCAGAGGGAAGCTCTATCTGAACTGTGTGAAGTAGCTGTTGATGGTGTCTTTTCTGTTGTTACTGGGAGCCTTTTTTAAATTCTATCATTGAATATTTTCTGAAGCTTAATATTGTCAGGTTGGGTCAGCAATGTCTATGTTGCTTTACTGCAATATCTACCACCATTTTGAGTTCTATATTTTGCCCTTTAAATTTGTGACAATGAAGTTGTTAGTAATATTTGTACAGTTGGTAAGAATGTAATTAAATAAATCCGAATATGTTTTGCTCTTTGCTCTGTATTCTGATTTACGTAAATTGATATTGGTTATTGACCACCATCATCCTGAAATATATTTATTGCATTTAACATTTTATGTGTGTATATACAAAAGGTGTTAAAGTCCTTAGTTTTCTCTAATTGTGATTTAATCACTATTGATCCAGTCATGTATTTTAACATATTTGTATAATACTATCAAATCTCTTAACCTCTTTCATACACCCTAACAGAGGCAAAATTGGTCTTGCATTGTCACCCCAACAGTCATAGAATAGAGTTGCATTATTCCCCCTTTAACTTAGCTTTGACTGAATCAATTAAATCATGAAATAGACAGAGTCGTTCTTGTCACAGTTTTCATTTCAAAACAAAATTTATTCAGAAGCTACCAGTTACAGAAACTGGAAATAGAAGCTCTATGGAGATAAAGAAAATGCATTGAAATTTCCTTTGAAGTTGCTTTCATATAAAATAAGATGTTGGTATTCAAGTAAGATACTGGTATTTGTATAAAATAAGGTACTGGAAATTTTATTGTTTCAATGGCTTATGAATTTTGGGCTCATTTCATATGCTAATGACAGTAGTCCTTGAATTATTGAATAAATATATCTGATTGACCATTGTATGTATTAATGATGAAAATGATAATTTCCTTCAAGAAATATACTCACCTAATATCTACAGGTCTTGGTATCAGATTCACTTATAACAGTTAACAGTGTTTTGTTGGAGCTTATATGATATAAAACAGAATCACTAAGTGTTAAAATGAGCATTGTTTTATCAATACTGTTTTCCTTAAAAATTAGATAGAGGAAAGTTAAGCAAAATTATATCAATTTAAATATGTCAATACTCTTTAAAATAGACAGTGGATACCAGAAGGAGACAGGAAGAGGGGAGGGAGGAAAGAGGACAGAGTCAATGTGATAAGTGGAATAGTAGAACTTTGGTTATTTTTGAGGTAAGATTTATTCACACATAGAGGGAAAGATGTACCTCTGGAATTCATTTAGTATTATAAATCAATAATTTTTATAACCATAAAATATCAATAAACAGTATAGTTTAAGCTAAATATGATTAACTATAAAACAGTTATGAAAATTTGAGAAGATATTTTATTTCAGGCCACTGTGATTAATTTGTCATAAAACTATCCTTTACTATAAAGGTGATGGGTAGTTTAAAAATTCAAAAAATATATTTTCTTGATCATGATAACCTAAAAATAGGTAACAGATTTTTCCTAAGACATCCTAAACGAGTTTCAATAGAATTAATTTAATTAGACATTCACAACTCATAGGTTTTAACCATGAATCCCAGCCACTTAAGAACAGTACATTATCATCATCATTTTGGTTTATTACAGAGTTTTTAATTATATTCCTATACCTTTTTATACTGCTTCCCAAATGACTTCTTTGGTCAGATGTACTTTAAACAACTTCACAATGAATAATAATTTACTTGCTGAGACACTTACATCAATTTCCTTTTCACTTTCAGCACAGATTCTTCTATATTGATCCATGTATTCTGAACACCAATTATGAACCATGAAAGGACATTTATTCACATATAAAACTACATTATTCACATATGTTAACTCTGTGGGTATAGTAATATTTTTTCCTTAAAAATATTATTTCTAATTATTAAAAAAGTGCTACAAATATGATCTTTTTAATGATTCAGAATTGAGACATTTACATCAGACAATAAAATTCAGTGAACTAGCAATTTTTCACCTTGAGTCCAATAACAGTCAGTGCAAAGCAGTTCCTTTTTCTATGTCCCAACTAAATTTTTCCTGGCTTACTATCAAAATGATGCTCAGGTACCACGTGCTATTATTTATTTGCCATTTTTATTAATTTGCTAAAGTAGAATGCTGTTTGCTATGTCTTCTGAGTATAGGTAAAGCACCAGTCTATTCAGTGATATAAAACAAGAGAAATCTGAACAGGAGAGTGTACAAGCTGAAGAGGAAAGTGTACATATAATGGTCTTCCCTTACTCCACTTTCCATCTTGAATCTCTCCATAGTAATGTGGAAATTAGACAAAAATATGATTAACAGTTTCTATTAAATTTTGGTTGCTAAAGTCACCACCCCCTATGAATAGCAAAAGCATTGAATGGATGCACAATCCTTTCTAAGCTGTGAATTTAGAGCCTGTTTATAAGAGGATGATGGGAAAAAGTGGGTCATCTTTCGCAAAATATATTACAGGGAAGAAATAGAAGGAAGACAGAAGACATAGGCTCCCAGCACACTTTTTTTTTTTTTTTTTAAATCATGGGCCTTTGGACTTTGAACATCAGAAGACCTTTAATTAAGCTCTGTTTCTCCTGATGGTGGGAGAACATCCTGCCAGGACAGGCCCATCACTTTCACAAGTAGTTTTAATGATTTTGCTTCCAGACAGACTCCTGAGAGGAAGGACTAAAAATTAACATAGAGCAGGATCGTGTCATAAGGAAAAGTTGTAAATTGTGGTTTGTAATGAGTTGTCTGTAAGTAAATACTCATACATCTATTAGGAACACTTTTAAATAATGAGATCAACTTGAGATTATGTGTTCTCGAATTGGCAATTTCAGTTCAGGAGAGAAAATGATTCACAATTATTGTCTCTTCTTCACTGAAAGTGAGTGACAGAAACAGAACTTGTCCATGAGGCAAATACCTTATTTGCAAGAGATCATGTAATTTTTTTAATTCCATTTGCCAAGCCATTTGCTTTGACATTTTTCATGATAGAAAAGGGATGATGTAGGTAAATAAGTATATATACTGAATATTTTTGAAGAGTTTATCTAACTGGAACAAATACATTTCATGTTTGGAAATGACACTTTTAAATATAGGTAAAAAAGATAACATTTATCTATTTTATTAAACCCCTGTTTAGTTTTCTTTAAATACTAGATTACAGTGTCAATGATTTACTTACATGGATATTGTTCCTGTTTTCCTCCTAACACAATTATATTAAATTTTAATGACATCAGTTGTAATATCTAACTGGTATCTGGAAGCTTGTGGAGAGCCCAAAGGTTTTATACAAATTTATATGTATAAAGCTTTCACTGATATACTTTGCCAGTAGATATTTTACCTTGAGTAGTCAGCTCTGCAAATCCCTTCCCACAAAAGATTAAAAACATCCTCCTATTACATCTAGAGATTTCTTTTTGTTATTCAAAGCCATGAATAAATTTAGGGAAAATGTATATGATTTTAATGCCTTAAACCAGAAAGCTTCCTTGATTCCTATTAAAAAATGGAATATTTAATGTTTTCCTTCTTCTGTGGTACTTTTTTGATATTGCAGCAAAGAACAAAAAAGAATTCTGGGAACATATAAAACAAAAAACTGTGTTTGAAGTATTATAATAAAACAACCTTCTCCCTTTAATGCTGAGTCCCTTTTTAATGAAGATCTTCTGGCAGCTCTTGAATGTATAACTAGTTTATATCATGGGATGAAGCTGTCTGTTCTGATGATTGACATGAGCCCACATTACAATGTGATTCTGAAAATTAGTCCATAGAGGTCCTTTTCAGGTACTTCTCAGACTGAGAGCTGCCCTCCAACTACAGTAGAGCCTTTTTAACCCCACTCATTGGTATTCTAATCTGGAAGTGCTGTCCTGCCTTTTAAATAACTCAGGCATTCAGGCTCGAACCCCCCTTGACACATTACTTAGCCAAAGGATTCAAATGAGATTCAAGAAACATGCAGTACAGCACAAAGGGATTGGAATATGCACAATTAATAATCACACAGTTAATTCATTTTTAATGCAAAGAGGATTTCTGAAATTTCACATTCAGATTTGTAACACAAAATAGTAGCTGTCTACCCTGATTACATTTCCAAAATTTCAAAATACAGGTATGATGTTTAAGTAATTGTTTTTATTTAAAATAGATTTCTCCTAAAGACACAGCTTTAAGTGATATTAAGATTAGGATACAATTTGGAAATAGGACTACTTTCAAGCTAGGTAATATGTAAGTAATAAATACATTAAATAGCTTTTATGAGAATGGGAAGAGGCTACACTTCTGGTTAGGAACGTTTGCAGTCGGGGTCTTGATTATCGAGTCCAAGTCAACCAACTGCCTTACACAATGCAATGTATTTTTTAATTCTCACATTGTGTCCTACCAAGAAGTATTCTTGAATATTCATTCTTAAAGATCTTATGTTCATATTTGAATGGCTTATCTATAGTTAACTTATTCAATAAAAATGCCAGCAGAACTACAACAATCCCAAGATCTTACACTACAGCGTAGATGGCAACTAACCAGTGAATCAACTTTATTTGCCAGACTTTTACTATAGATGGATAATAAGTACATTAATTTACTCACCATTTATTCTTGTATTGCCTTCTATATTGTAAGATTCTGGAGGTGAAAGTAGTGAATAAGAGTGACTAAGTTTCAGCTCTCATAAAATTTATATTCTAAAAAACAAATTAGGGACCATGATAAAACCAGAGGCAATATTAAGTGCTGTGCAGAAAAATAAAACATGGTAAAAGAATGAATTTATCGTGGTGGTGAGAAGAGGAGGAGATTATTAGATGGTGAAATTTGAGAGACCAGAATGAGTCATGAAGAAATATGAGAGGAGCATACTAGGCAGAACAAAGAGCAAGAACAAAGCTCTAAGGTCATGAGTTTACTATATTTGAAGAGGTTCAATATGGCTGGAGCAAAAGTTAAGTGATTAGAAGAAATCACTCTCATAATCAAATGGCTCATCATTTGAGGGTCTATATGCACTATTTGAGTAATTTAACTCATTACATAATCTATATTGATCCACTGTGCTTCTCCTTATGGAACTGAAATGGGGTCAAGCAAAAGACAATATATAGAAATTATAGTGAAGATATATAGAGATACGTAGGCAGTTAGTTTAAATGGTGACTTCAACCTTAAAATATTTGCTATTACCCAGCAATATCAGCTGCCTTGGATAATTATCAGGCAACTGGTAGCTTCAGTATTGTCATGTATTTTGAATTATTTATCTTTTACCATGATTTGTAATGGAAGCTTCATAGTGATTTTGAATTGTTCATTTGGGCAGATCATCATAGTGTATTTGTTCCAATAGTTTTCTAAATGATTCAGTGCCTCCTTACTATCTCCCACATTCTCAAAGCTCACCACACTCTAACTTGAATCTATAGGAATCGATCTTTTATGGGATCCAGGTAGTGTTTGAAACCTTAAAGATGGTTGCCATATTCCCGATAGATAGAAAATAATGGAATTGCCTTTTATATAGTTATGTGGAATAGTTTTGTGAAATTACTTTTTTGGTATATATGCAGTTTCAGACTCTGGTTTGGAAAGTAGTTCTAGGCTGAGATCAAATACAGTTCCCTATGATTGCATGACCTGATTATAAAAAATTAAGACAGATGTTTGGGTACTGTATGAAAGTTTGCTAGACTAATACTTTCTTTTTGTTCTATATTTTCCACTTTTCCACTCTTCTTTGTTATTTCTTTTCCTTGTTTATTAATTACTTGGATGGGCATAAGACCTTAACCTTGACCCCTCATACCAGTTTTCAAGCATAACTAGCACTCAATCTCCAAGCTATAGTGAAAGATAAACTAGTTTTATTTGGTATCTTACTTCTACTAGTGTCCTGCAAGGTGAAATCATTCATGCATAGATAATTGCTCTAGCGAATTTCCTTGATCTGTGTGTGTGTGACTGTAATTATAAATACCAATTGGGTAATTGCTGGGGGAGGTTTTTAAAAGCAAATGTTTCTAATGTGTGGTTGACACATGGTGTTCCCAATTGATTATATTATTTACAATATTAATGAACCTGATATTCTTTCTCCCATCAAGGGCAATATTAGGTTTACCTAAAGCTCAGTAATGTGACTGGTGCATGTTTTGCCTGGGAGAAGGTGTAGAAAGAAGGTTAGTTGACTCTCTAATATGTTATCCTCTGTAGTGCTATGCACAACACATATGCTGCTCTGGTGCACAGAGCTCAAATTAGGTCACAATCAGGAATGAAAAGAATATAAAGGTTGAGAAATATTTCATTATTGAACTCTCGGTATCATTCCCCTTTAATAAAGTTGAAACTTCGAAGATGACCAAACAAAAATTGTAGCAAAATATATACAAAACTCCCATGTTCATTAATTTTCAGTAAATAAATCCATTAAAGGCCCTCCCTGGTGGCGCAGCAGGTTAAAGCACTGCACTAAGATGCTTAAAAAGCCACTTCCTCATGAGTTCAATTCCCGCCTGTCCCAGAGGTGACCACATGGCACAGCAGACCTCTCCTGACCCACCCCCTGCTGCCCTCAGCAGTGTACTTTGGTGATCTGCCTGTTCTGCTCCCCTCTCGCTGTTCCTGAGCCTCTGGCCTGTACCCCAGTTCTGTATGCACAAATAAATAAATCTTTAAAAAAATTAAAAAATAAATAAATCCATTAAAATTATTGCTATTAGTGATTTACAAAGTAATGAGATAAATTAACATCCTTTCAACAGAAGCTTTTTCCTTTGAAGACTTATGTCAAATGATAGCATTTTATATTCATGAATTTGTGCCTATTGGCATTTTCATTGCCAAATATTCACAACTAGGTATTAGAAAATCAAAAGTCTATAACCTAATCACATAACTGGTCTATTTGGAGAGGAAATGAGACCATTACCCCAATGTCATGAAGGAATTTGAATAATATCCAATGTAATTTTACCCTTTCCATATTTGGCAGGCATTAGCTAGAGGCTTCCAAAATAAAAAAGAAATGAGGACATTCTGTGGTTTCCCTGAGGAAGAAGCAAGTGCCTTTTTAACCTCTGTGTTACTCCAACTTGAAAATGAGAGTAGATCCTCAAGATATTTTAGCCATGTGATAGTGCCTACCTATATAAAACTCTACTCTGCATTTTCAGAGCAAATTAAAAATATCCAGGGAGTCTGATAATCTTGGGAATATCTTCCTGTCAACTTGGGCCCTTAGCACAAATGCAAACACAAAAGGAAAACAAGTCTTGCAGGTATTTACAACATTGATTTACTTCCTTTCTCTCCTGCATATCTTTAAGAGAAGCAACTGAATTGAATTGAAGTAGTCTTCTTACTTGCTAGGTGTGGATAAGGCAAGGAAAAAGCTATTTGGACTTTTCACTTTTAATCTCTACCATTTGGAGGAAATGATGTCTAGAAAGGCTAAACAATTATACCGGCTGTTTATGTTTAGGTTAGGCAAGGGAAACTTTAAAAATGTGGCCTTCTTAATTATCGCAACATATTTAATAATGTATAAACGCACAGATGAGCTGGAATAGCATACAGATTAGGAAGGATCCATATTATCATTAAATCCATTTACAGATCTCTATCTGAGGAGAATTGTACCATGAGATAGTAAAAATGTGTTACTGCCATATTGTGTGCTGATGGGGATCAAGGTGATACAGAAACTAACACATTTGAGTAGGAAAACTGAGATTTCTTAACTAGAGGGTGTAATTTTCTCATCACTTTTTATTGTCTTGTCCATTCTGTCTGTTTTTGCCCTGAGCCTGTTATATGTTAGAGAGAAGACTATGGGAGAGTTCATAGATGTTGATTTTCTCTTCCTCTTTAGATTTATATTGTGTTTATTTTCTATTTCTCTTTAGATTTATAGTGCAATTTTCTCCAAGACTTCAAAGTGTTTGTCCAAAACATATAGCAAAATAATGAACACAGGAATTCAAAGGAAGAAGAGAACAGCATGCAAGGGTAGTAGTAAAAAGACTGTTTCTAAAAAAACCTGACTTAAAAAAAACAAGTCATCTGTTTTCAGAATTGACTCTTTTACTATTTATTAGTCTCCAAAGTATTTTAATTGAATAATTTAACCTCTACTCTTCATCTTTAAATATTTCGATTCCATCATAATTTGAATTGGGAGCATCTCTCTTTCTCAGTTCTGCTTCTGGGCTATTGTGGGAGGCTGCTTTGTGGTTTACCTGAGGGGACATCAGGATGCCCTGATCATCAAACTTCTCCAGATCTCCAAGTTGCTTTTATGAGTTAAGGCGGTGTTTCCACAAGACTCCTATTATTTGAGCAAGATATTAAAATTAATCATTTAGACCCCACTGATACATTGATTAAAATACATTAAATAGTATGTGTACAACAGAATACTAAGTAAAACACTATTTATGAAAGGAAGGAAATTATATCAACAATTCAAAATTCTTCTGATCTAATTTTTCTCATTTCAATAAGTATCAATCATTGATAACACATAGTGACATATATTTCAATGTTTTTCTATTTCATTTATATAGATAGTGTACATATTTATCAAAATTTGTTGTGACTGCCTAAGAGTTCAGAGCTCTGACTATTCAATTGTTTGATCTATTTTTAGATGATTATAAATGTCAAAGGCACGTAACAGAAGAAGTGTTAACTATGGATTATCAAGATTTCATTCTTGGCAGAAATTGCAAGTAGTGCCTGTTGCTTTAAAATCATTTAAAAATCACCTTGATTTGATGGTACTCTTGGGTACAATTTCTACTCTCCCATTTTGGAGCGCTTTTTCACCATAAATACATTTTAAAACACAAAATGAGGTGATTTGGCCCATTTTGCTATGTATATAATTTAACCTTCAAAGGATTATGGTCTATGGAGCAAACAGGTTAATAGGAAGGTTTTAAAAAGACATTTTTTCATCTGATGGGATATAATCGTTCCTAAGGAGCTGTTATGGTCTATTGTATAAATCCTTCAAATTCATGGACTACTGGCCCAAAACACAGTAATGGATCCTATAGAGCAGTAAAAATCTATCATGTTAATATAGCTGTTACATAAGCAGAGTATGAAGTTTATTCTCCCATCCATGCCTTCTGAGATTTGTAATTCTCTTATTAATAGGCCTGATTCTCATACCCCAGATGGGAGGCTTTCCAAGTCCTTTATACACTGAGTAAAAATTCTTCTCAGGACCTGCACTGAAACCAATGATAATAACATATTCCTGTAAAACACTGCCATGTCTAACAAAAATATTTGCTTGTTCAGAATTCCCAGAGGAATCCTACCACTTCACATTTGTAAAACAACAAAGAGCATTGTTTAAATTGTTTACAAATCAGCATCTGATATCATTGAATTGTATCCAGCAAAAAGTCAAGTACAGCCCCTTCAAATATCTTTACATTGATGTTGGCAAGAATGGATTTGTTTTGAGTGCATTTGTATGTTTTTATATTTATAGATGGTTGGGCCTTCATGGGAAGCTTAAAATGCTCTCTATCACAGCTTCTCAATTCCTCTTAATCTTCATTTTTCTTCTCCCCACAGAGTCCTAAAAGTAAAGGCCACTGGTGGCACCATTTTTCGGTTATTCAGAATATAGATCAGCAGTGTCAGGGAAACTGGATCCTAGTCATGATGTGTCCTTAGCTACAGAATCATAATCACAATTCACAGAATGGGGCCATGAATTGAG